TATTTTTTATTTTTAATGCCTCAGAAATACTTTAAAGTGGCAGCACGTGCTATAGCGCCGATTTAAGCAACGTTGAACTATAACATCAGACGCTTCGATAGCCGCGCTCGATCAAGAATGCTCACAGAAAGGTTATAGCTTATAAATTGTTGTAGGGTGCGGTTATCCAAGAGCTAAAGACGATCCACTAGAACTTTTTAGTATCGACACACACCATAGCTGCCTTCTCACCTCATGTGGTTGCTGGGATACGTAAATATAAATGTCACCTACATTCGTTGGCCATCATATAGTGTGAGTTACGCACACAATGTTTGTGCTCGTTGCTAGAAAACAGAGACCTTCTAGAAGATGCCCGCGCCTGGTACATCGTTCTCTTCTCCATCGATCCCAATTTGAGGCAGGTTTGAGCGTGATAAGCCGTTTTTTTGAAGATGGAACGTTTTGTGAAGATGTGAGTCATCCTTACATATTCAAGTCACCACTTCTCGCGCATGTGTTTTGAGCTCCTTGATCAACCGAAAATATCTATGAAACGTTCCTTCAATGGGTGCGGGGATGCATCGCAGCTCTCAAGTATGCGTTTACTTTGCCACGGGCTAAACTAAAGACCTTCGACAGCGGAAATTCGGTGACTGCGCGGGCGCAGCCTTGCAGCTCCGTAAAACCTACACCCGAGGGGCTAGGCTTGGTGAGCGCCAAAAAATGGGGCAGATTACGCGATAGGATCTGAAGCTACCCGTAAGTCATGAGGTCGCTGCTGCCGCACCGATCGCCCGTCGCTCAGAATGGGGAGTTTCACTGCTCATCCTCTCAGAAGAAGCCGGCGCAAAAGGGGACCTTTCCCCTCGCCTCGCCGTGCTACAATACAAGAAAGAAGGAGGGCGAGGAGGACTTTCCGCCAGGCGGAAGACTATTTCTGCTGGTCCTCCTTTAAGGGCCGTTTAAAAAGGACATTACATAAGGGGGCTGTAAACAATGTCAGATAAAAATACATAAATAAAAGCACGAAAACCAATAACACTCGCACTACCGCGAGCACGCTGCCCGCGAGTAAACGTAAAAAAAAACAAAACTACATTACAATGCAAAAACAGAAAAACACAAGAATTGGTAACATATAAATAAAACATTACATCACGTTTAGTCTTATTGCACAAAGTAAACCATAGTTGATATCAAATGTGCAACTTAATGCATTATATAGCTTCTCTCGAGCAGCCGCCACATGCAAGGCCTTGGAGGTGGTAGTACCACTAGACGAGATCTGTCGGCAGGAGCCGACTGGTCCTCGCACGCAACATTCAATTGTTCTTTTATCGATGCCAGCAGACAGATACCTGGGGCAAGTTCGTGACCCAGCTCTTTGCATAAAGGAGCGGCTTCCAAATCCCATGTTCTTTGGTCACAGGGATGGGCAAAATACATGCAAATATGTATCGAAATACAAATACAAAATACTTCGTCAAAAATGTATTTAATTAAAAATCGAATTACATTTCCAAAAAAGCATTTAAGTGCAAGATACAAATACAACCACAAGTATTTGGTCTACTCCAAATACTTTTACAAATACATTCCTCAAAATTTGCGTCAGCGACTTCAGGACACCTGCAACGGGTTTCTGGGTATCTCATTTTAATTTCGCATCGCACACTCGGGAGTTAGTGTGCGAGGCTCTAGTAACGTAATAGAAATATAATCATAAAAAAATGTAATCAGCTTGGACGTAATGGGTGAAAAAAGTACAGAGCTTCAAGCCGCTTTTCTTTTTTTTTTTTTTTGTCGATTCCATTTTGGTATAGACCAACAAAGAACCGAGACGACCAAGACGAGCAGCACTAGCTAGAAAATTTTTTAATGTTGCAACTCGCACCACTTACGAAAATCTGGACGACCCGCGCATTTAGGATGTTCCAGGCAAAAATATGGATGGAAATCAGGCTGGAAAGCCTCACAAGTTGTCACAGGTACTTATTTAGCCAGTTTGCCTGTGAATGTCGATTTCGCCACTATTCTTGACCTGGACTAGCACCGTAATCACAAAGTCAGTAAACGCTTGTGCTTGATTGAGAGACACTGCATTCGGTGCAGAACGTAGTTTTCTTCCTGCTCTGGACAGCGACCATAAATTTGAGGGATGTATTTTCGCCCACAAAATTGTATTTAATTACAATTGTATTTGAAATACCCACGTTTTAGTATTTAAATACAGACGTCAAATACATTATCCCATTTGTAATTAAATACAAATGCAAAATACACAAAGTATTTGAAATACGTATTTCAAATACTTGTATTTGAAATACTGCCCATCCCTGTTTGGTCACGTATTGATTTATGTGCATGCAAAATTTTATTACAGACATAACATATGCAGAACTATAGTGTTATTTAATATCCAGAAGCTAAATATGCTAAAGTCTAAAAATCGTATGCGGTCTGGTAAGTACAGTACGTTAAATACCCGGTGTTTTGAGGAGAAAATAACCGTGTTTTATCACCGTAAAGTAAACTGCGCGTAGCCGAATGCTCAGTTTCTTTCAAAGTTTATTGCTTGCGGCTAAGACCAGATGCCAATTAGCTTAAAACCCGATTTTATGCAATTTTCAACGGTAGAAAGGCTGTGCGCACCGCAAACAGGCCTCATTTTTTCATTCAAATTTTTTTAAGAGCTTCAGTGTTTTGACATGTGGACTATCTATGCTATGTTCAGGTGACTCTTGAGGATTCTACCGAAATACGCGACGTGCGGAAAGATACACTTGCTCTGGAAACGATCCTGCCACTTTTTTCGAAACAGTCGGAGTGCCGGCGGCCAGCCCGCGAAGGGAAGCGTAACACTCAAGAGCAGCGCATAATGTTGAATGTTTTAAGAATCTAATTTGAGAAAAAAGAAAGCGGTCGAGAACAAAACTTCCCGGCTTTGACAACGCTTCCCCAAAGGTTCGGGCAAAGACACGAGCGAAACAACACAAAAATGTTAAGTTCCGAAATCAGTGCGATCGGTGCCCCCCCCCCCCCCCCCAAAAAAAAAAAAATAAATAAAAAGAAAAAAAAAAGGAGAAAAGCAGAAAAAAAAATTGCAATAGTGTAAGTCGGTGAGGCAAGATGGCTGCGCACTGGTTCACCATACTTGGCCCAGTCGGCCATCTTTCATCCATCCATCCATCCAACACAAGGCCGCGCGCCACGCGGGCGCAGAGGTCGCGAGGAGGTGCAGCTGGCGGAGCCAGGAGCTGGGAGAGCGAGCTGTCGACGAAACGTCGCAACATCTGTCGATGAAACGAGCGGGTGCTCGTTTCCACGAAACGATCTGTCGATGAAACATCGCAGTGTCGACGAAACGATTTGTCCATGAAAGGTCGTTCGACGAACTGATTGCCACCGGCATCAAACGTACACCACACGACACGGCGGTTGTGAGGCCGGAACACATGGTGTGAGCTTTCACTCGAGGCACTCCTTGTACAGTGTTGCCAAATGGTCCCACCAAAAAACCGCCAAATGACTGGGAGGTATAGCCCAAATATAGCCAAAGCCGTAAAAAAAATATAGCCCAAAATAGCCAAGACTCAAAGCAATGGGTTTTAAGCCTTATATTGATGATTTCTCACACTCATGCAATACACGTTCCAATCTTTGTTTCAACCCTCAGATGCACCTCCTTTTGTGTACATTACGTTCCTTGTGAATTTGTCAAGAAAAGCTTCGATAGAATAAAAATCCGTACAAAACTGGGCCTTCCTTCGTAGGTTTTCAAAAGTACAAAACACACAGACAGCTTTATTGTGAAGCCCGGGAGGTATGATCATACAGTAAAAGAACAAAATACAGACGCAGAACAGTCAGAGCACTATGTATTTCACACCAGAACCCCATATCTGAGGTCCTTACGATATCCCCCCCGTCTCTCTTTCTTTGTGAAGAATATTGGTGTCACCCATTCATGTTCACGCTAATTTTAATTGTGCGTCCTTTCTTGGGGTGGACAACGACTGGAAGGTAGTCAATTGTTTCGCGGTAAAACTGCGGACATCTCATTTTTACAAACTTGGGTGCCTAAAAATTCTCACAATGGGCGCCAAAGCAGTGTTCGGAAAGTTCAGTCTACGTCCGGGCAGAGCCATATGCGTCCGGGTTGAAGGCACGCTACTGGGCCTGAGGTTATAATGCAATCTGTTTGGCTTGCTCCACTGCACTGTAGGGAAACCGCATGAACTCTGCAAGCATTGCTTCACTGCGCATTGTGAAAACCCCGAAGTTCGTAGAAGTTTGAAGCCTTTCTCCTTCCTCTCTCTCCTCTCGACTAGCCAAAAGAGAAACAATTTTTTTTCGAAACTGATTAAAAGTTTAAAAATTAACTAGCCGAACCTCAAAGTTCGGCGTCGAACTCGAGGTGCGACAAAAGTTCGCCGCATTCTTAGAAATAGCCCAAAATAGCCACATAGCCAAACACAACATTTTGACGCCAACTAGAAAAAAATGTAGTCCAATTTGGCTATATATAGCCCAATCTGGCAACACTGTCCTTGTAGTGTTATTACTTTTTTTTTTTTATTGCTTTCCCCCTTTTCTTTTTGGAAGGGGGTTAGCCGCTGTTTTAAACAAGCACCCCCCCCCCCCCCCCCCCCGAGAATATATCGTGGTTATGCCACTGGTTCAGACAAACTTCTAAATTTTTCCAGTCTTTCTCTCCCTCTACAAACAAAAAATCAAATAATGTGCCACTGAAGTTGTTTTTTTTTTTTTAAATCGCAGCTTGTAGGCGCCTGCTTTCGGCTTGAGCAGCGGCGGCGTAACCGCGTGGTGCATTATGGTACGTTCCCCATAATGCACCACAGCGCGGCAGGGAGGAGGAGGGAGGATGGAGGAGGCAAGGAGCAAGGGAGGAGATGAGGGAGGAGAGGGTATGGAAGAGGAGGAGGGGCATATCGTCCCCTTCAGACCATCCCTTCCTCCTCCTCAAGAGCTGCGCTCTAATTCGGCATTACGAGGAGTTGTAAACGTCTTATTTTTTTTATTGTACCACTGTAATGTACAAATAGGTGCCAGCTGTCAAATCAACAACAGCCCAAGGGTGAGGAACATGTGATAACCTTATTTGTGATGATTCCCGATGATGAAAAATATGAACAATGATTCCTCTGTGGCTGTACTTCAGCAACCTACAAAGAAATGGAACAGGTCGGGACCAACAAAAATAGATCTCAATATAATGATGGTTTCTTATTGGATGGTTCTCTTAAAATAAATAATAAAAATATTACTGGTATCTCCTAATATCTTTTGCTGCAAACATTTATCAGGGTGTTGAGCAAATTATTGTTTGGAAATTCCCAGATTTTTCTAAGTTTTTCTTGACAATTTAAGGCGAAATTCCTTGACCACTGTAGGGGTGTTTAGATATATAAGACCATTACAATACGAGGCATTAAGCATTGAGCACTGTGAGGATAATTTTGCATGGGCTCAATTCAACTTGCGTATTTCGAAATATTGGGGTTCGTCCAGTTCGGATTAAACGAGTACTTTCTTGCCGCCGACATCGTCAGTGAAGAGGCCACTTCCGGAAACACAATGAAAACACGACGCCCAACTGCTCGACCACACCGAATGGCCAACGTTACTCGATCAACTCAGTTGGCAAACTCTCACGAAGAGTGTGATCCCTTTTCGTACCCCTCAGCCAGGCTAACGCCGTTTGAAGCGCCAACCTTCTTGCTCGCTGCGGCGCGTCTTGGAACAGCAGTTCAAGACACGGCCGCAGCAGGCGAGAAGGATGACGCTTCAAGCAGCATTTCCGAATTTAGAGGTTATCAGCGCAAACTGACGTGTGTCAGCGCATGTCTTGTACCGTTATACAGGATCACGCTCTCCGTGGGAGTCTGCCGACTGAGATGATCGAGTAACATTGTGAATGGCAGCATGGCCGCCAGATACTTTGGCCGCCAGATACTTCCGGATACTTTGATTGGATTGGGGTCTGCAGCTTTCCTATTTGTTACAAAATCTAGTAGCTCTAACTGGACCTAGCCTAGTGTCGCGCCCTCAATCCAGTCTAAACCAAAGCTTGGACTGGATTTGTCGGCTGTCCCCTTTGCATCGGGTAGCACACTCTACATCAGGTGAATAGAGCCTGCGCTCTGCTCTAAACAGGATTTAGTGCCTATTTTTTTGCCCCCAAGTTCTCAAGTCTTTGCTCAGGGCACTCAAAGGCCTTTCCGGCTTATTTTCCCACCGGACTCGCTTTTTGGCAATATCCCTGACAATTCCTTGATCTTTCCCGGTAATTAAAATTTCCCTGACAATTCCCAATTTCCCCGGTCACTACACACCCTGTTCCCTTCCTTCACCAATATATTTCATATGGACTGAGGAACGCCACTGGTTAAAATACTTCAAAATCTACGAGCCCATGTCACTGCCATTTCATTGAGAGAGATGAGATGATAATGTGCTTGCAACCTTCTTGATCTGCTTCAGTTCCGAAGTCGCACAACTTTTCTAGATCTTCCATGCAAAGGTTTGAAGGTTCGATCACACGGTCTGGCTTATTGAATGGCTTTAGGAAACTGGCAGAGCTCAGTGTGTCCACTGAGCTCTGTCAGGAAGCACAGCAAGTGGATGAGGATTCAGTCGTTGGTCGATGAAACGGTCTGTGTCATTGTTTCCAAACACCTTTGGCCCGCCAACTGAGGTACTCGTCAAACTGCTGTTCATCAATGTCACTGTCGCTGTTATCATTCTGCTCCATTGCGTTGGCTTCATTTTTCATGAGCTCCTCCTTCCTCTGCTGCAGCTGCTCTACCCTCTGCCAGTTGTGGCTGAAAAATAATGGTTATAATTGTCACTGCCAAGACATTTGAACCACCTCTGAATCTTTTACAGCGTCGGCTGTTAGTGGCCAGTCCCTGGTTTTTCGATGGCGTGAGCATAAACGAAAAGTTTCTCTGCTAAAATTAACGCAAAAATGTAAGTCACGTGACCTATGCTCCAGTTCAGTATCCCCGCTAGCAGAAAAACTGATGTCACATGACCTATGCATCAATTCAGTTTCCCCGCTAAATTTAGCGGAAAAATTCACGCCATGCGACCTATGTACCAATTAAGTTTCCCCGCTAAATTTGGCGGAAAAATTGATGTCACGTGACCTATGCATAGATCAGTTTCCTGTCAAATTCCGGTCACGTGACCTACACACCAATTCAGTTTCTACGCTTAGCGGAAAAAATTTGTAACATGACCTACAGACCAAATCAGTTTCCCTGCTAAATTTAGCATAAAAATTGACATCACGTGACCTATGCACTAATTCAGTTTCCCCACTTAATTTAGAGGAAACATTGGTGTCACATGACCTATGCACCAATTCAGTTTCTACGCTTAGCGGAAAAATTTGTCACATGACCTACAGACCAAATCAGTTTCCCTGCTAAATTTAGCATAAAAATTGACATCACGTGACCTACGCACTAATTGTTTCCCCACTTAATTTAGAGGAAAAATTGGTGTCACATGACCTATGCACCAATTCACTTTCTACGCTTAGCGGAAAAATTTGTCACATGACCTACAGACCAAATCAGTTTCCCTGCTAAATTTAGCATAAAAATTGACATCACGTGACCTATGCACTAATTCAGTTTCCCCACTTAATTTAGAGGAAACATTGGTGTCACATGACCTATGCACCAATTCAGTTTCTACGCTTAGCGGAAAAATTTGTCACATGACCTACAGACCAAATCAGTTTCCCTGCTAAATTTAGCATAAAAATTGACATCACGTGACCTATGCACTAATTCAGTTTCCCCACTTAATTTAGAGGAAAAATTGGTGTCACATGACCTATGCACCAATTCAGTTTCCACGCTTAGCGGAGAAATTTGTCACATGACCTACAGACCAAATCAGTTTCCCTGCTAAATTTAGCATAAAAATTGACATCACGTGACCTATGCACTAATTCAGTTTCCCCACTTAATTTAGAGGAAAAATTGGTGTCACATGATCTATGCACCAATTCAGTTTCTACGCTTAGCGGAAAAATTTGTCACATGACCTACAGACCAAATCAGTTTCCCTGCTAAATTTAGCATAAAAATTGACATCACGTGACCTATGCACTAATTCAGTTTCCCCACTTAATTTAGAGGAAAAATTGGTGTCACATGACCTATGCACCAATTCAATTTCCCCGCTAAATTCAAATCAAGTGAGCTATGCACCAATTCAGTTTCCCCGCTAAATTCACATCAAGTGAGCTATGCACCAATTCAGTTTCCCCACTAAATTTAGCAGAAACATTTATGTCATGTGACCTATGCACAAATTCAGCTTCCCCGCTATGCTTGGTGGGAAAATTGATGTCACGTGACCTTTAGACAAATTTAGGTTCCTCGCTAAATTTAGCGTAAAAGTTGACGTCACATGACCTATGCACCAATCCAGTTTCCCCGCTAAATTTAGCGGAAAAACTGACAACACGTGACCTATGCATCAATTCGGTTTCCCCACTAAATTTGGCAGGAAAATGGATGTCACGTGACTTGATGTCACGGGACCTACAGGCGAATTCAGGTTCCCCGCTAAATTTAGCAGCAAAGTTGACGTCACATGACCAATGCACCAATTCAGTTTCCCCGTTAAATTTAGCGGGAAAAGACATCATGGACATTAAAGTGGTACGGAAGTGAAATTTTAGCATTTATTTCTTTGTGTAGACGTGGTCTCCTTTATGACAGCAGCTCACAAACACCAGTCTTTCGTCCCTAAACACAAGAAAAGCAATTTTAAAACGAATAGAACAATTTTCTAATACGTTGGAATGTCTCACGTCACGGGCCCACCAGGAGCAGCGCCATGACACGGCATGTCCAATGGAGGTGCGTGGGAACAAGCGGCGCTTGGAACACCTCTCAGTTCTAGTACACCCTACCTCAGGTATTCCCACTTGGCGGGATTGTAACTGGTTGACGATAAAGCTGGCGCCACCTAGTAGCGCCGGTCGTAATTACGGTACCCTTGGCCATTTATGGGCTCGTGACGTTGCAAGCGCGATGTCATGGGCAAATATGCCGAGACGCAATGTGCCGCCTTAAAAACTGATTTTGAAGCGCTCCCCAGAATTTATTGATTGGAAAAAAAGAAAAAAGAAAAAAAGGGGGATCGGTGGCCGAGTGGTCTAGCGCACACCAGCTCGGAGCACGTGGAGCGAAAGCTCGCGCTGCAGAACCCAGGAATCCTGGGTTCGAGCCCCACCCCTGCCCGTTTCGATCTGGATGAGCATCGTACCGGCGTGCGGTCGTGTATCACTACTGCGTGACGCACGTTAAAGACCCCAGGCTAGCGGCTGTACCGCACTGGCTAAATTTCTCATCTACAGCTGGGAGACTCGTCGCCCCTGTGAGGCAGACCAAGTTCTAAGCTGTATAAACACACACACAACCCAATTTTTTTTTTTTTTTTGATTGGAAAAAAAATATAGCCATTCGCTGAAAATCCAAGGTGTGATTTTTATGGACATCATGTATCATATTTCACCAATTTCGAAGTGTTCCGCGGATATTTCAAGTTTTGATTCTGCACCCCTTTAAAATCATTTACTCATCAACGTATAGACGCTATATCAACACAACGTCATTTCAATATCAGATCGCCGTATGACACACAATTGGCACAATGTCAATTGATTGTCATCGTCATGTCGTTGAATAAGCAGCACAGTTGACGCTGTCTAAGCGCATCACGTTGTGTGATCGTTGTACAATTTTTGCTTAATGATTTACGCCAACCGGATAAGTCTGAACATTGATCTGTTCTAAATCTGGGATCGGCTAGTTAATAATTTTAAAGATAGTTAAACCATCTGATTTGATAGGGTTAATAGCTTGTAAGCTAATGATTTGGTTTCACAACCCAGGGTCTGAAAGTGTGTATGCCATATTTAAATCTTGTCAAGAACTAAATAAATACTGCTGCATATATGGCGGAGTTAACGGCACACACGGCTGACATGCAGAGGTACAGGGTTCAAACCCTGTTAGCACTGCCTTATTTTACCAAGCATTGCACTTCTGGAAAGTTCCAGTTCATTCTCAATAACCTTCATGTATTCTGGGTTCGAACCTTCCTGAACATAGGGTGTGTACAAAAGAAACCGTACAGGTTGCTTTGGATCGGTCATACCTTGTCATTGTTGCGGTATGCGCGGTACCTTTTCGTCTTTTCGGTCATACCTTTCGGTCATACCTTGTCATTGTTGCGGTATGCGCGGTACCTTTTTTACAGCAAAGCTGTTTATGACTAGGGTTTCGTGGATGTCTCTTGAGCGTCAACAAAAAATTATGCTCGCACCGCCGCATGCGCATGCCTTCCCCGCATAAAAGATTAGAACTAAATAACCAAAATAAAGTGTTGACAAACGTGCGTGCAAGATGCCATTTGTTTTAGGCTTTTGCTTTAGAACAATTACAGCTATGTTGCTGCAGACGCCGGCACGTGCGGCACGTGGAACACCATTCCCTGCATTCTCCTTGGGTAATATAGCAATAGGTCTGTTCAGTAGATTATTTATCAATAGGCACCATTTTCACAATTAGTAGACTCTCAGGTAGATAATAAAGGTTTCTCAAAGATTTGCCACTGTGCGACCCGCGTCGGCCATGTCTACGCTTGCACCGCCCTCTCTTTGCCGTCGTTTTAAGCGCTTGCATGCCTAGTTTCCTTTCCTTTTCTCTCCCGGGGCGGCGATCCCGTCGCACCTGTCTACTTTCTGCCGGGTGGCGGTCCCATCTCGTGTGTCTAGTTTCCTCCGGCTGCTCGGGGTGGCGATAGTCATCCACGTGAAATAACGACCACTGATCAAGACAACAATAAATGTGTGTGCGTATCTCTTGTCACGATGACCACTGATCGAGACCATAAATGTGTTTGTACAAACCTTCAAAATTCTGTGTCACGTCTGTGTCATGTGCCCAGCAGCTTCGCTAGTCATCCACTTTCAGAGTGGAATGACGCATGATTTTTTTTGTTTTAAGTTTGCGGCCCAAGTGCGCCTCATTTAAATTTAAGCATTCCCATTTCAGTTCAACACCGTTTTCATTCGTGACAATACACTACATTTAATCCCTGTCCAGTGTTCACACGAAACTGGAGGTGTCTTTGTAAGCACATCATATGCACACAAAATAAAAAGAAAGTACATACATTTGCTCATCTATCTCTTCAATGTCACGCTCCACTTTGCTCTCCTCAACATCTTCAGCCATGATAGCCTCTGACACCTGGAAAAGGAAACATTTTGTCAGGGAGTGCTCACACAAAACTTCATAGCTTTGCAAGTTGACAGACACAGCACAATCATTCTTGGCTATATTCAGGAAGCCAGGGTTAACCTTAACAGCTTCTTGGGCTAAACGTTTTCAATTCTAAAGGCTCTAGTTTTAACGTCATGGCGTATTTCGCTGCTAAATGTGATATAGAAAAGCTAACCTGCCTAGTTTCCTTTTTCTCAAATGGGCAATGCAATTACAGCCTGTTTTTAAATATACTAAAAATAAAACTTCTTGCAAAAAAAATTTAAAAAGAGATGGTGGAAGCTGAGATTATCGATATTTCCCAAATAATGCCTCTCCCCCACCCCCTTCTCCAAAGAACCAAACTGGGTTGAAAATGGGGATAACTTTGATCATCATCCACTCATACATGCATAAGACCATAGCATGCCATAGTTATTTGAGAGATAGAGAAAGATAGAGACCTCTTCTGAGTCATTAAAGATGCAATCACTATCACTGTCAAAAGTCTCATGCCACAGATAGTTCAAATACTACAGAGACACCAATTTCCAAGATAAAAATTAACAAATAAAAGTAATGGGCATTTCTTTCGAATATATTACAGTAGGCAGAATACCAGGCATATGTTGATAAGCACCTACCATCAACTTTTGAAAATGTGAAATATAGGCGAACAACATTTGAAATTTAGGCGAACAACATATCAAGCGCCCACCCCAGCAAGCTTGTGAGCCTAAAAAGCTGACTGAAGTGCTCCTCTATGTCACCTGCATCTCCAAGAAGCCGATGCAAAGCAGTGAAGCGTTAAACACATGTGCAGGTGCGAAGTGGTGGAGACAGGAGAGGGAGCACAAGTGCAAAGCCGGCATAGCGAGAGCAGTCCAGCTGCATTCAAAATTAAAGTAGCCTTGAAACAATTCTTTCTGCTTTCGCTAAATACTACTTAGAATCACTTCCTAATGATAATAACTGACTAAACTTGCCTTAGCCTTTCTTTCTTGGCAATGGCAGTTGCAAAAAAAAATTTGAGAAATATGAACGTCGTTCATCCCCCCAACAAGCCAGAACAAGCAACCACATGGCCTGGTGCTTATCCTATGCCATCAACATGAAGTTGGCAAAATAGAAAACGCATGCCGAGTTCCAGGTATTGTTAGAGTTTGGCTATTCTCATCACTACAGTGGTTGGAAACGAGTCACTATCCAAGTGTCCGCCGAGGTATTGATTGTTACGAGCCGAAGCCAAGTGCTCATGCAGCTCTCATGTCCAATCCATGAGCCGCGCTCGACTGCCGTCAGGCGTGTGGTTTCGATTCCACAATTACGTCATTAAGCTTTGCAAAGGCAAGACTGAAAGGAATAGTCCTCCTTTATCTTCGCAATTTCACCGCGACAAAGAAGCTTCTGAATCAGCGGCGGTCTGTGCGAGTTTACTTGGGCCAGACTAGGAGCAGTACAACTCTGCAAAGTACAACCCAATATTGTTTCATGACCCCTTTAAGGTTCCTGCCAGACCACTGTACCACTCCTATTAGCGCCGAGATGTTTCAAAGGCGCCCTCATGGTTTCTCTTTGTGACGTAATCATGAGTTGTAATGAGTCACGAGTTGTAATCTTGACTACTTATCATTAGTTGTGAGCTACAAGTTCGAGGGCGTGTGTAAAAATAACAATGGAAGCTTGGAAACCTCGCATCCTTAAACCAACATCGTTGCAGTTGACACTCTGACATAACGCTGATTTCCGTCGATTAAAGAAAAATCAATCCAAATAAAGGCATCATAGTAAGTGTTTGGCCAATCGCGAATCGCTACCACAGCGACGCTTTTGGTCGCGCACGTCACTAATAATGTTCCATCGGGTCAAACAAGGGCCTATTCTGCCATGTGGCCCTACTGCTCCTGAACCTAACAAGTGCTTATCCCCATTTCTTTGTGATTATCTCCAACTTTTGTGTCAGCGCTTGCTCGGTCTTTTACGGTATGTTCGTGCAGGTATGGAGCACTATTGCAAATAATATGAGCACGAACAGCCCCACATGCTTTCTTGGCATACCTGTTAGTTTCTGGAAGACTTGAAGGTGAACATTTTAAGAGTTTCAGAAACAGTTAGTTTCTGAAACTCTGGTCCAGACTATGACTGGAATGTAAAGCTTAGGTGCCCGTCTCTGAACTTTTGGACAAATTCGTAGATAAAAGGGTTGCTCGGATTGCAGGCACAGCAAAAGGTCAAAACGAGTGTTGCAGGTCTCATTATTCGGAAAGGTACACAACCAGTAATTAAAATTCGCCTGGCATAATTTGCTTTATTCTAGTGTTTTCAAAAAACCTTATTGTGCTTGCAGCACTGAAAGCTTGTTGGCAATGCACTCAAGACATAAGGAGTGGCAAATAATAAAACAACCACACTATCGCAGTAAAAAACAACTGTTCTGTCATACTCGTTATTTTGGTGTGTCAATATAGTACACAAGAGAAAGCAATGTCAAAGTGTAGCCCAAGGAATATGCTTTAGGGATTCTCGTTTCTTAGTGGCTTGTTCTTGAAAAGTTACTGACCATAAGACACAATGATTAAAATCTTACATTTGTTTCTTCAGCAATTTCTTTCTGAAACTTTTCCCATTCTTCTTCGATAGGGTCCTTGTACTCCACATTTCTTGCCTGTAAAATGAAGTATGTGATACACAACATGTAAGAGTGAGATGGATAAAATAGCTGTTGATTTCATAATTATATATTATCAATATTAAACACATAAGAAACAAGACTAGTGAAACTTTCAGTAAGTTATATGATGCCAAAATTTCACATTGCAGTAAAAACTCGGGTTCTTTATACCTTGCTAGGAAATGCTTTCTCTTTTGCAGTCATTGTACACATTTAGGCACAGGGCTGTGTAGTACAGTATAGACCACTTACAACGTAACCGCTTATAGTGCAGGACCGGGTATAACGCGGCTTTTTTAAACCACCGGTTGGCCTCCCATAGAACTCTTGTAATTACATACCGCTTAAAATGCAGGCGCGCGAAGGGAAATACCTGTTATAGTGCAGTTTTTGGAACAGCGCGCCGACTGACCGACGCTGCGAGCACGCTTCCCTGTGCGACACTAGATAACGGCGCGAGCTGTAAGCGGCACTCGCGGGGCAAGGAGGTTGCTCGAAGAAGCGGGGAGAAGCGAAGAGAGAGGCTTCAGTTGCCATAACGACGGAGGGACACACGCACGTGTTGTTCACGTGCGTGCGTCCCTCCGCTGCGTTGGAAAACAACCGCAACGACAGACCAATCGCAGGTCGAGGAGAAGTGTTAGCGCGCGTTGCATGCCGGTCGCGGGCTGGCTGCTTCTATCCGCGAACATGGCATCGGTTGTGATCGTCGACGTAGACGGCGTGGTGGAAGCTAATCGTTCCGCGTAAAAGCGCTATCCTTGACTGTGAATTTTCGTTGTGTGTCGCTATGATAACCCAGCACGAACTAGAAGGGAAGATCCACCTACTTGTGCGGCGATGTTGTAACGGCACTCTCAAGACGGCAGAAACGCCTGTGTCGTCGTGTTTGTTTACTTCGACTACAGTGGTGCTTTCTAAGCATTTGCCTTTTCGAACATCGTCCAGATTTCTTATTTGGAGCATTTCATGCCTGTGCTCAAGTTGAAGGTATTACTGGCGCCTACCGTATAAAGGATGAGAATTCTCACGCGTTTTCATCGCCGGAGAAAAGTGATTAGGGTTAGCAATCCTGAACGCTCGCAACGTCCGTCCGCAACCCGCAACGCCGTTAAAAGGCTGCGCCAGGCAAGAGTCACTCATTTCTTTCAAAATGTGTGACACACTTGAGAGAAAAGTGTACTAGTCTGGTGAAATAAAGACTTTCCTCAAACTAAGCTTTATTTTTCATCTAACATAAAATAAATTCTTTTACAAAGGTAAGTTGTCTGATGGCATGTATTTTGGCCTAAAAAATTGATGTTTTGGTTATAGCGCGGTACCGCTTATAGTGCGGATTTTCGCGACTCCCGCGACGTACGTTATATGCGGTCTACACTGTATTGGGAAAGATTCGAGCATTGAGCATGCAAGGTGCCTCAATGCTTTGGTTTTGGTCATGCTCATCCCAATGCTGTATCAGCACCTTCCCCGGAAAGGCGCTCGCATCCCAGCTTTTGTCGGTTCGCCCCATATTTTCCAATAAATTGCTGGGCACAGCTAGACACAAACAACCACGAAGAGCTGCTATAGGAGTATAAATGTTATATGAAAACTCAAATACCAAGGAAAATGAGACATGATATAAAAGTGAGTTTCACAAATCCCAATATTCCCACCTTGGCATCTAGCACTGGATCATCGAAGAAGCCTTCAGGTAAGGCCTCCGCTGCCTTTCTTTTCTTTTCAGGACATTGGGATTTCGGTACTGAAGTTGAGTTGGGGAGAACTTGTTTAGGTGGAGCCATAGGCACCTCAAAGAAATCTGTAATTGAGGTACCTATTCATAAGTATCCATTCCAAAGAGAGAGAGAGAGAAAAAATGCTGCAGACAAGAAGGAAGGAAAATGTAATACAAGTAATACCAGGACTGCTGTATGCAGAAGACATTGTACTCACAGCAGAAAACTACGGTACTTAGCAGGAACTATCTTGAATATGTGGAGAGGAAGGGGGCAGCTTGGGCCTGGGTTTTAGTAGTGACAAGTCTGAAGTAATTGTGTTTAATGACGAAAAGAGAAACCCCTGAATATGCAAGACATTGCAATAGACCACATAGTAAAATACATATATCTGGGAGCATGGATCAATGAGGAAAGCAAATATCTACAGGAACATAAAAAAAAAGGCAAAGAAATTTAGCTAATATAAAACTTAAGGCACTGGAATTGAGTTATCAGAGCTATATGAAAAGGAGTGATGGTGACAAGACTGTCTTTTGGCAATGGGATACAGTGCATGAAGCCAGAGGTTCAATTAGAACTGAAAATTTGACAAAAGAGGATGGGCACTATAGTCCGTTGCAACTCAAGAAGGTAGGGCGAGGGTAAGACGGGCCAGGGAGGAGGAAGCAGACGGAACGCTGGAGAAGAGAGGGGGAAACCTCCTTCTCTCTTTAGCGTATCGTCTGCTTCCTCCTCCCCTGCCCGTCTTACCCTCGCCCTACTTTCTTGAGTTGCAACGGACTATAGGCACACGTGGGAACACACATGAGGACGTATAGACCTTTTCATCCTCCCTCGCATGGGCGCTGCCATCTTGGAATCACGTGACGCGGCAGCCATTAGGTTGCTTCAACTTACTGCTCCGCTCTCCCTTCCGCGCCTTGGCGGACGCGTTGTATTCGTGTTTTTCGTCGTGTTTCACTGCACTTCCTTGCCTTACTTTGGAAACTGTAGTCCAATATGTCTACTCGACGACTAAGACATCACGACGGTCCAAAGGTCCTTATGACAACTGAGGTTTGTTTTTGCTAATAGTGGCGGAACATACTCAGCAAGAAGCGCGTATATTTATATCGCTTATTTAGAATCGGAAGTCGTCAAGAATAGTCGGCGCAAGGAGACTATCTGTACTTCCTGAAAGTATCGCTCTTTGTATTCATAATATTTCGAAAACAGTTTCTTTTGATTATGTGAGAAAACTCATTTAACGAACGTTTAACTTGTATTTTATCTGAGGCTAGAAGTAATGGTACGGCAACATCAGGTGATTTGTATCTTCATAATATCACACCTACAGGTGTATGAGGTACTCAATCTTTTTTTTTTTTCGACGTAAACATTCGGTTGGTCGGTTTACTTATGAAGTTTAAGAAATTGTATACCGTGCTCGCGCACATTTCTACATTCGTTTAACTGATTTATTGATTATATTTTGATAACCAGTATCATTGACTTAATTTTTTTTAATACAAAGGTTGGGACTTCCCATGTAAGAAACTGCTACAGACACTTAACAATAGCGAGTTTTAGAATAGCATGCACAAAGAAATAACGTTGTTTGTATTTGCAAATACAAAACGCGGTCTGGGTTCGGCGCATTCGCAATAATGGCGACGCTTTTTTTTTTTTTGCGTACGCTGTTTTATGTTTTTCCAGTGTCTAAAATACGCAAAATGATCCGCCGAAAAAAAAGAAAAAAGAGCCGGCTGCATAACAATCACAATTGAGTCCAGGATGGTCGATGGCGAGTAGAGGCTCACTTTTAGTGGCTGGCGACGCCGTAGTTTACAAAGCGAATATGTAACACATGTTCACACAGGTTCACACGGAATATGTAACACACATTCATACGGACCTGTGTGAACAAATATTTGTTCACACAGGTCCGTGAAGTGGTGCCTAGCACTAGAATTCGGCCAAACGTTCCGAGGTATTTCTCCTCCTGCGTCCTTTAATTTTATTTGGCCAATATTGGGGAATACAAATGCGAGATTTAATTGGACTGGCCTGTCACTTAATTATATCTTGAGTAAGCAAATGTTCATATAAACATTTATTTCCTAGGGCCAATGTCGCGAAATGCTGCTTATGAGTACTTCAGCAGGGTTGATAATTTAAGCGATTTTCTACCCGGCCTGTAAAAACATGCTCGAGTACTGAATTAAAAAAAAAAAAAAAGAGGCCGAGTCGATACTACTTGTTTATATCAGTTATCTGCATCATTGCACGATACGTTTTTCGCCTGCGAAGTTTGCTGATGGTTGGGTGCCCACGAAAACCGAACAGTGAGCAGTAAACTCGCGAGTTCTTCTGTTCCAGCCGTTTCAGCACATTGCTATTCAAGCTGTCGATGTGCTTCTTTACATTCACGTGTTAGTCTCTTCATTATAGTTTGTTTTTCTGGAAGCTGGTGCCATCGAGTACGGCAGTAGACGATACTAATCTTTCATGTACATCAGTCAGGCGTTTCGCAGCCGACCATATCATCAGAGGAGTTGGTAAAAAAAAGCCCGCAATTTAGGCTAAAATACACCTCGTAGTCCTCAAAGTTGCTCAATACCAGTGTTTCATTGGTAGTGTGCTACAAGGAAAAAAATATCGTAGCACATAATTAAGCAAAAACAAAGTAAAACAGCAAATAGCCACGTTCATGTTGAAACCGAAACCTACCAAATTGAAGCAACCTAATGGCGCTGAGTGTGTCAGTGCCCTCTGTCCGCCGGTGAGGCAACTACTAAAATGAAAAGGTCTATACACTTTGTGCGACATGACCGACACACCACTGCGCGGCCGTTATTGAAGGTAGGCTGGATTTGTTTGGTTATTAAGAAAGATTTATTTGCTGTAATACTTCAGCATAACACAATAAGAAGATGTAACTCCGAGGTTTATATGAAAACTCCAAGGAAACAGCTCCTTCCCGCCAAATTGTTCTTTTATCAGCTTTGTGCACACGGTGCCACTGTTGCCATTGCTTCTGAAGTCGGTTCCAAACAAAGTATTAAAAGTATCTTAGCTGAACCCAGTAAAAAAAAATTCAACGACATGAAATTATGGTTTATGTTTAATTATGTTTAACAACAGTGACTTTTTCTTCTTTTATTAAAGTGCGCAAGGCGGTGGCATAATCTCATAAAGAAAAAGGCAAGCTCGTGTAAGGCAAAACATATATATATATACTGACCGATGCAAGATAAACCTTAAAGGGGCCCTGCAATGACTTTTTTACTCATTTTTAATTTGCACCGAACCTGAGCGCACTGTACGTAGTAACTTAGTGAAACTTTTCTTTTCTCGAAATTCCCTTTATTTTAGAAGTTATAGGCAACTTAAAATTACAAAAACCAGCAAAAAATAACCTCCCTCATGACGTCCTCGGTTGCTTGAGAGTGGCCGTGAACTAGGGAAGAACTAGTGAGCTCATCGAGCGCTCACGGCTGCCGCACTCCGTTTCGACGGCGCGAGAGGGCGCCATTAAAGCGTGTTCTGGACAGGATGTATGCAGCGGGCAGCCAGAGTGGCTCTCATTGCATTTGCTGCGCGATTAAAGACTAATTCGGCATGACACTTCATTGGCCACAAACGACAGCAAACACGGGGTAAAGATCAGTTCAGAATGGGAGCTACTTTGCGCTGCCATACCGTGAAACGGCCAAACCGCAAGACAAAGCTTCTCGCCGAAGGCCTTCGGAACGCTCGGAGCCGGTCGGATCCTCCTGCCCATACGACCGCGGCGCCGCTGCGTACATCCGGGACCTTTCCGTGTCGGCGCCTGATCCCACTACTCTTTTCTAGTATGTGCCGCCTTTTCCACCGCTTGGTGGCGGGTATGTCGACGGGTCAATTCTTCTTTCCGTACTTTATGTTGCGGCATTTGTTTCTTTTTTTATCTAAAATACCGAACAAAAACTACTTTTATAAATAATTGAAACGGTTCGCGCCACTTATATATTGTATTTCGACTAAAAAGAAGCTTTTAGCGGCTCTGACCAGTAGTAAGCCCAGGACCAAAGACGTCACATTTTGCGCGCTTTCGGTACCACGGGTCGCCCTCGTCGGTGGAGGAGGTTTCCGTGTTGTCCGGTTAAAATATGACGCATTGATATTTAGTTACTCTTTCCGTGCCCGCTGACTTGCCCGACCCCTAAGAGACGTGGAAACCGCAAAAAAGGTAGACGCTGAAATATAATTGCAGGGCCCCTTTAAATGTACACTTAGATCTGTCTGGACCTGTCTCACACAGTCAGTCACTTTGTCTGTCTGTGTATGGGTGTCTGTGTGCACACATACAAGTTTTTGTTTGTTTCCTTCACATTTTTATATGCTTATAAGATGCCACGTAATTGGCGAAAGAAGTGGAAGATAGAAAAACATAGCTCGCCTCTCCTTTTTATTCACTCTTTTTTTTTCTTTTCATATGGACAGCATCAAATTACAGACAAAGAATAATAAAACATATTTCTGAAATTAGTTTTGCAGGAAAGGATATTTGTGAGAAAGGTGCTCCTGCAGAAAATCATTGTAGCGAAATTGGTGGGGCTTTAATCATAATATAAGCCATCTTGATTTTATTCTCCACCCTGAACTCAATGGATCTGTGGTTTTTCAGGATATGTGGAATTTCAGGATATCAATGCCTCATCAATTTTGTGAAAAAGTGTGGTGGTTTAACCTTCTAGAAGCCGGGAATGTTTCTCGACAAAAGCCAACGTTCAGTGTGATTGATATATGTTAAATTTATTTCCTGGGATATATTAGAAGCAGAGAACAGCTAGATGGCCTTTTATAGGTCTTCCCAAGCCCTTATGCGACGTCACCCAACCAAGGTTTTTGTCCATGCGCGCTTCCGCCGCCACAGCTTCGCACGGGAAAAGGCGCCGCAGCTGCTGAACGCATTTCACCATCAAACGCCAACTCCTCCGCTAGCGGCGCTACACGCGTTTTTCAAAGCGCCTCCTATAGTTCCCGCACAGAGTGTATAGGAAGACATAAGCTGGCCATCCTTTGAAAGCTGAGAGGCAATTAGTAAATTGGAATGTAAAGAAAGGTTAACTAAATTAGACGATAAGCAGTGGGCATGGAAGGTATTTAAGTTTCCATACATAAAAATTTTAAACACAAAATAGAAAAACCATACCCAAAAGCTGACATTTATATGCCTGCACACAAGTCATGGGGCTGAGCAGACTAGATCAGCTGAAAAGGGGGTGAAAGAAGCAGAAAAAATAAATGTGGCAGAGAAGAATGCAGAAAAAATAAGCTTTAACAATGTACAGGCCAAAAAAAAAAAACAGGAGATAAGAAAGGAAAAGGTGTTAGATAATTCACAGAAAAGTTCTTTGCTGTTGGAGGCAAGATTGGAGTTAAAAAAAAAAAGATGTATTATGAAGCTAAATTTTAGAAGAAAGACACAGTATGTGCCATATGCCATAGTGAGATCGAGATGCTCTCACTATGATTTAGGGAGGTTTGCCCTGCCCTCCCTGAAAGGGTAATGAATTTGGCAAGGGTGCTGGGTTTGGCTGGCGAGGATGGAAGAACGGAGGAGAAAAGGATTACAATCACAAAGAGGAGGTTAGAAGATGGGTGGAAATTACTAGCACAGCTGGGGGACAGGTGGGGCGGAGGAAAATTGGGACTCCCTCCCACGTGGCTTTTGCACAAAGGCTCAAACCTGTCTCCCAGTACATCCGGTGTTGGGATAACGCCGATAAAGTTTGGCCAGAGGAAAATTAGCAACTCCCTCGCCTGGGGAAGAAAGCAACGGGTGCATGATCTTATTTCTTTTGCCCGATCCCCCAAAGGTCATTCTTGCGATATCCTATACTGCCTGACAATACGGAGTTTTCGTCGATCAAGTTTCCCCCTCCTCTAAGCTCTCTGCAACGAAGAAGCCGCTACTGCACCTGCACGCCGATGGCCCTGACTATATAGTTCCGGGAGTCGTAGCAGGTCTCATTCATTTCATTTCATTTATTATACTCTCAAGGAGTGGAATTACACATCAATATAAAGTGAACAATGAAAACAAAACGCAAAAAACAAAACACAAGGTACAGAATCGCTATGGAACATTATTAAGAACTTTAGTTATGGCGGTTTTAAAATCAGCAGCGTCAGTAAGTAAGACTACGGATGCGGGAAGGCGATTCCAGTCGACGGAGGTCAGGGGTAGGAAGGAGGCATAAAAGGTGGAGGTGAGGCAGTAGAGGATTCCTAGTTTTAGTGGATGATCGGTGCGCGGCGATATGTATGATGGTTCTGAAAATAATGAGGTTCGAAGTGCTGGGTTAGAGTGATAAATTTTGCAAAATAAGCAGAGGCAAGCTATTTTTCTATGAAAGGAGAGGTTGAGCGAAAATAGAGACGCTTTCATAGAGGTGACGCTGGCTGTACAGTGATAGTTAGAAAGTATGAAACGTGCGGAGCGATTTTGAATAGATTCAATGGATGATTGTAGGGATACGCCAGGGTTCCAGGTAGAGCCTGCATACTCAAGTTTGGTGCGCACTAAAGTTTTATATAGGAGAAGTTTAAGTGAAACAGGGGCAAGGGAAAAGTTTCTTCTGATATAGCCTAATAAGCGATTAGCGTTGTTAGTGATATGTTCAACATGAATGTTCCAAGAGAGATTGTTAGTTATATGAACATCGAGATATTTATAGGTTGACACAGAAAGCAAGGTGGAGTTATTAATACAGTAGGAGGGACAAGTGTTATTTTGACGGGACACTCTCATAGATTTACATTTAAAGGTGTTAAGTTCCATAAGCCAATTATCGCACCAGCGGGTGACGTTGTTAATATCGGTCTAAGATCAGATATGTCAGAGTCGTTAATGATTTCCTTATAAATTACACAGTCATCAGCGAATAGGCTAATAGAAGAGGATAAATGCGTGGGAAGATTGTTAATATATATAACAAATAAAAGTGGACCTAATACGGAACCTTGCTGGGCACCGAACTTGACACGCGAGGTTGAAGAATTAGTTCCGTTAGCGTGAACAAATTGGTAACGGTCTGAGAGAAACGATTCTATCCAAGCGATTATATTAAGATCTATGTAAAGTTTATGGAGTTTATGAAGAAGCAGCGCGTGAGGAACCTTGTCGAAAGCTTTTGAGAAATCAAGAAATATGCAGTCAGCCCTGGAACCCCGGTCAAGGTTGCGGAGAGCATTGCAGGACGGCGAAAACTATCTATGAAAACTCCCTAATAGTTACAAAAATGCAGAGGGGAAGGAAACTGGCTTAGAAGTGAGGGGGGGAGGAATTGGTGTATTTTAATTTTTAGGCTATGTGGTGCAAGCTACCACCCGTTATAAAAGGTAGAGCCATTAACATAAATCCATCCATCCAAGTAAAATGTCCTATGCATTTCCTTTCCTCTATATTATGCATAGAGTGACACCAATGCAACGTGCCCAACCTCCTTTCATTGATTTGTAGGGAAAATTTTGTATGAACATCAATTACTATTGTGTGATATACCTCTAGTTACAAGAACCATAAAATTAACTTTAGAAACTACCACAGTGTCCACTTAATGTCAAATAATAAACTAGATTTACAGCCTATTACTAAACTAGTGTTGCTGGCATAGCTCCCAAAGTAAAATTACAAGCAATGAGCATACCCTGCCTCTACAACGGCCCTTTAAAGTCAAGTAAAGGCATACATATGCCTTTACTAGACATGTAGATGGCACATCCCAGAAGTATATAGATGTCTACATGTATGGGTGTCACATCCCCTGTCTGTTTCAATGACAATACACAGTGGCATTGTCCTTTATTACATATTATTTTAGGGACTGAAACTTGGGGCAATCAAACGTTCAGAAGATATATGTAAACATGATTAACTGCAGGTGCCTACATTCACTCTTAGTTTGGTATGCACAGATTCAAGAGATTAGTTGAGGTCAGCTGCGCTTTACGTAGGCCCTGCGTCTTTGACAGTACCACAGTGAACTAAGCCAGGGCAACCCACCCCTGCCCGTTTCGATCTGGATGAGCATCGTACCGGCGTGCGGTCATGTATCACTACTGCGTGGTGCACGTTAAAGACCCCAGCCTAGCGGTTGTATCGCACTGGCTAAATTTCTCATCTACAGCTGGGAGACTCGTCGCCCCTGTGAGGCAGACCAAGTTCTAGGCTGTATAAACATACACACAACCCAATTTTTTTAAAGCCAGGGCAATGCAAACTGCAAGCCAGGAATGATTCATGGTCCATGTACTCACCGCTTGGGAGCACTGATCCAGATTTTTCTGCGGCACTTTGTTTGGGTACACTGCTTGAGTCTCCCACATCCATGCCATCGTCGGAGGAATTGCCAGAAATAAGAGAGGACTCCTTGGCTCTCTTGTGGGGAGGACTTTCCCTGTTAACATAAACACAAACGGGGTGACACAAAAATTTAAATCTTACTGCCAATGAAGCCTACAAAGCGTCTACAAGATACCTGAACGTTGAAAGGCAGAAAGTACGACTTTACAGAATCGCGATGATCCACAGTTAATCTGCGCTACATACGCTTTGAGTACCAAAATCACCATCATGACAGATGAACCGACGACAGCGCGAGCCACTATCCTTTGCGACAAAAAGCTGTCAATGGAAAGAAAGAAATGCTTCCATACCTGGAATTCTCTCCTGTATGTGGGCCATCTGTAAAATACAGTAACGTTGAAGTGCAATCGGATTGAGAACAAGCCCCAGGTTCCCCAGGTTCATACCTTTGTGAGCCTCAAACCGGTCGTTCCCGCGTTTAGTGGTGCTACTCTCTCCTTGGGTTTGACGAGCCTTTAAAGTATCTTGCAGGTCTTGTAGGTTCTAAAAACATAAGGTTGTCGAGATGCTCGGATTACACCAAACCTCTCCTATGGCTTGTCTTACCTGTTTGTGCGCCTTCCCTAGGATATGAGGAGCCCAGAGTGCTTCGCCTTTGATGTGTAGTGCACACACTGTACACATCAACTGTCCTATGCTGTTGTATGTGTTAAAAGAATCAAGGAAACTGCAAAATACAAGAAAGTACCACCTCACCGCGAAAGCAAGTAAGCACGTACCATGCAAGGCTTCACAGCGACCCCCTCTCTAATGACGCCTTCTAGACCCCCTCTCTAATGACGCCAGTTGGTTCATTGCTTGCAATGAACCAACTGGCCCAAATCTCCACTTTTCTAGAATCCGTACAAAAAGGATATTTTGCATATGGTGACGTGATTTTCTTCGACGACTGAGTTAATGCCTCTTTCCGCTCTCGCATCAAACGCTTCAAATCATCTTTGCTAACAACTTTCTTTCGCAGACCGGGTGCCGCCATGCCTATTTTGAAATCATAGCGATAGCGACGAGTTTACCTAGAACTTCGAAGCACTGGATGGCCCCCACCTGTGGCCCCCACGGAGAGACAGTTCACCTTACGTTGTACCCAACGTTGGTTGTACCGCAGCGAAGGCTAGAAGCGCCAGCTCATCGTGTGCCCTAGAGTAAAGAGCTCGCGCCTGTAGCCTTTTCTGCGGTACATGCGTCTCTGTGCTCGCCTCTTGCTCTTGACGAGTTGTGCCTTTACATACAGCTTCACGCACTTTGCACTCGCAAAACATATCCACACAGCGTTGATTCTTGATCGGTATCCAGGAGTGCGAAGGCACAGAGACGCAGCACTTCGGCGTGCCAAGGCAATACCACCAAGGAGGCTTTGATCACGCCGCGAGACCAGCGAAGCTTGCTTTCGACAAGTTGTGCCTTTTTTCTACGGCACTGCGCTTCCGTAAAAATTTTCAGGTGTTCTCAACTGCATGTCTCACGGCTTACACAGAATTTTAAAAAACTTCTTTCGCGAATGACGACGAACGAGTAGAAAATGTGGCTACACCACGCTGCCGCCAGGCTCTGCGATGCTAGCGGAAACGGGATCTCGCTGCATGCAAGATGGCCGTCTGGTTGGTCTGGTGGCCGCGGGGGTGTCTTTGCAGCGAAGCGTTTATGGCTTGGGTTCCGTGCATTTTTGGTGTGCGTCAACAAAAAGTCCATGCCTATGCTCGTACCGCCCTTTCTTTGTCATCGTTCCAAACGCTTGCGTGTCTAGTTTCCTTTCCTTCCCCGGAGTTGTGGTCCTGTTGCGCATGTCTACATTCCTCCGGCTCCTCGTGGCGGCGATGACTACCAATCAAATGTGTTTCTACCTCTGCCCAAAATCATGTGTCACGTCTGTGCACTGATCTGTGCGTCTGTGTCATGGGCTGAAGAACGGTTCCCGAAGAAGCACCACGTAGACAGTGCAGTGTGGTTGTGTTCGAGATAAACACAAAATGAAATTGTAGGTGAAAGGCTTTTTTTCCTGGGAAGCTTGGGATTTTTTCAGTGAGGGACGACTTTAAACTTATTCCAAAACTTGAAGCGCCTCATTGTGGCGTAATGCGACATAATGCATTGTGGGAATCAGTGGGAAGCAAAATACATATGTGCTCTGCTCCTGGTCCACAGGTTCCCAGAATGCAACGTGCCCAGCAGGGGCGGGAGGCACTCACTTGATCGAATGACGTTTTAGCGAACGCCCACATTTCACCAAATGACTTTAGCGAATAGTCAGACGCCGCGAAGCGGCGTTTTCGAGTGGGCCAAATGGGTTTACACAGGCACGTAGCCAGAATTTTGTTTTGGGGGGGGCCCGCCCACGACAAAATGCTGTATGAGGGGGAGGGGGAGAGGAGGTCCCAGCAAAATAGAAGATTTCAGGGGGGGGGGGGGGCCAGGCCCCATGGGCCTCCCCCCTGGCTACGTGCCTAGGTTCACATTTTTGTAATGAGCCGCCGCAGACTGTCGCTGCGAAGCGGCGAAAGCACAGCGCGGCAGATGGGTTAACACGCGCCCCCGTTATTCGCTAAAACGACGATTCGCTCAAATGTCGCTGTTCGCTAAAACGTCATTCGTTCATGTGATCTGGACCCTAGCAGGGGCATAGCCTGGGGGGGGGGGGGGCTTATCAACACTCTAGCCTTCCCCCCCCCCCCCCCCTGAAAATCCAGATGACCCTATAATATGCACATGCATACGCCCCCCCCCCCCCCCCCCCCCCCGTACAAAATTCCTGGCTACGCCACTGGCACCCAACGATAAATTTATGGACTATTTGAGACTTTTCGATGCCCCCCCCCCTCTCCCGATTTTGATAAAACTTGTTCGGGGATTCATTTTTAGGGCTTATCAGTATTTATCGAAAGAAACCCTTTAAAGCACGCGACTTCAGCCATTGCAAACACTGGTAGGAATATTAAAATACCACTGTAAGAAAACAAACGAATGGGGCATTTGTGTGCATGGTGTTTCGCATTTCACTGCAGACTACATAAACTACGTCCAAATGTGCAAGGCATTGTTTTTCTTTAATGAAGTTAAGGTGCTGACCAGATATCTTTATTCACTAAACATGCTTTGTTTCTTTACTTCTTTATTTGCTGACCAAACACTCATCTTTTTCCCCACGTGACAAACACATTGAGCTGACTGAGCCTCAGTGTATTGCCACTTCTGTTCAGTGATGTGATGCCCTCTTCAGACGGTTCCTTTCTTTGTGAGGAATTACAAAAAAGACAGGAGCACTTCCAACGAGCATCTCATGTTTATGAAAGCAAAGCCAACTGTGACAATATGCGCTTATCCACTGCATATAATCGGCATCATGCCTCCCCAGATGACCAACGACTCACGCCATGCTGCCCACACATGCATGTGGTAAGGGCACCCTAAATTCAGTGGGTCCTGGGAAAGTAGCACCATGCCTTACCTGCCTGCTAGCTGGAAATAGATACTAACATACAGTTGACCAAACCTCGCAAGGTGACTGGCTGATCGGTCTCAGTTGCCATGACAATCACGATTTCGGCTCTTCCAAATTTTTGAAGCTCCAGGAGGGTTGTTCTAATTTCCAGCCACTCCAAAATCACCATGGAGCATCATCATACTGAAGGTGTTCCTCGCAATATAGGTGTCTTTTGCACTGTGTATGCAATCAACTTATCAATCATGCCCATCTTCACAAATCTCTTACCCTTATATCGTTCTTCTCGCGCATTTCAAGAACAGCAAAATTATTTTTCGGTGCCTCCAAGCACAGACACCGCATGTGGTGGTGGTACGAAGATGTACGTACGCTTGTTTCTCCGGTATGTGGATAGCAAAATCTCGAAAGCTTCTATAAAGCTACCTACCAGCGAATTTAGATCGGCTCATAAAGAATGAAGAGGTCAAGGAGGAATTGCTCATATCATGAGCCAAAATGGCGACCATATGGGGAGCTTGGCACTTTCAGTGGCATAGTCAGGAATTTTTTTTTTTGGGGGGGGGAAGGGGGTTCAGGTGGCTGGGATGTCCACAACTTGGGGTGCAGAGAGTAGGAGGAAGGGGTTCAAAATGCACATGACATTGTAGAGGCGGCTGGATTTTGGGGGGGGGGGGGGG